CTAGCCGCCCACCACGGGCCCGCGTTCGATGCAGTCTGCAAGATGGCTCAGGGCACCTGCTGCAAAGTAGTGCATGTTTGCCTCTCTGTCAAGGTCGGTGGCCTGAATGCTGGTCACGTTGCAGCGGTCCGGGCCAGGCCCGCTCACAGCAACTGCTGTGAATGCGCGCTCCACGCCGGGAACGTTGAACGTTGGACCTGTTGCGCCACTCTCCGCGACACACCAGTCCACGCCGAGCCTGGACCGCATGTGGCGAGCGACAGTTTGCACCCACAACTCTTTGCCAGCCATGTACGCGTCTGCGTCGGCCTTGTGGCCTGGATCGCTGATCAGGCCGAATACGGAGTCGTCCCCCAGGACGGCCCTCAGCAGCTGCCGGTTGGCGTCTCCAGCGAGCCCGTAGACCACGACTCCGGGCCCTCGGTAGAAGCGCGACGCCCCCGGCAAGGACAGCAGCGCCGCGCTTACCAGGCCACCTGAGCGACGACAAGAAACGGGTCTCACACGCGATGGCATAGCGACCTTGCGCGGTGGTTCACGCGGGCTGGCCGCCAACGCGGCACACTACATTGGAAACGAGGGCGATTACCCGCGACCTTACCCGGGCTGCTTACGCGCGAAGGTCCGCGCTGTCGAACCCGCATCTTCGGTCGCCCACCTCGGAGCAGGGAGAGTTGAGACAACGGCAGCTCAAAACTGGTCCCTGGACCCCTCCACGGGTCCAAACGCACCAGCCCCCCGAGCTGCGACTGGTGACTGGCCGTGGCAACGAGGGCACCTCCCAAAGGCCAGCCGCCGTTGTCTCAACGCGCCCTCCTCTGATGCTCTTCCGTCGCTCACCTGCCGTGGCCTCCACCACGGCCACCGTCTCCCCGCGGCTCTGCAGCAGCGCGGCGGCCCGCGCCGCCTGCGCGCCGCCCGCGGCCGGGCCCGCGGCCGGGCCCGCAGCGGCGGCGCGCGCCCCGAGCGGCAGCGGCAAGGCACGCCGCGCGAGCGCGGCCACCGCCATCGTTTGGCTGGCCAGCCTCGGGCCGAGGTGGCTACGGAGCGCTGGCCGGGCATCAGATCGTGGGCTGGTGGCCAGCATGCGGAGGGGGGCATGCTGCGACCCGCGGGAGGGCCATGCCGCATCCTCGAGAGGCCGGGCCAGAGCCTCAACGTGGTGAGTATCGCCGGCGGCTGGTAGGCAGCTTGCCTTGCTTTGCTCAGGGTCCCAACTCGAGGAGGCGTCGCGAGAAATCCAGACCGTGGCCCCGAAAGAATGCCTTGTGTCCAGGCTGGGCGGGGCCTGTTGATAACGAGGGAACCATGCTGCACGCACCGGCTGATCTCGATACTGCTGGACGGCCTCTGCCGAGACGGCGTCGTGGCGTGGCCCGCACGTTTCCCTTGCCTTCTGGGCCTGACGCAGTCTCAGACTGACGAGCCTGAAGAATTGTGTTGCCCTGTGCCCGGGGGCGCGGCCGAGGCGGGACCCTGCGGTGCAACTCCTTGCCGCTGCTGCGTTGCCGCCGTCGCCCCTCGACCCACCCCGCCGCCCGCCTCGCCGCCCGCCTCGCGATCCGCCCCAACGACCCGCCGACGGCCGATCCCGCGATACCTGCCCGCTGCGATCCACGCCCGCCGCGGCGCACCCTGACAGCCCAGCCCTGCGACCCGCCTCGCGACGCGCCCTGCGGCGCGCCCCGCGACCCGCGCCCACGACCCGCCCGCCCACGACCCGCCCGCCGACCCGCGCAAAAGCCGCGACCCGCGCCACCCCGGACCCAGCAAGGGCGGGGATCTGCGTAGCCTAAGTCACCTAGGTGCGCGCACCGCCCCCCCGGTGCGCGGCGCTCGCTTCTCCTGGCGCCCCCGCGACGCCCCCACCGAAGAAGGAAAGCCGCTCTGGCACGGGCCGCAGCGCGCGAGTGTCACCTTCGCGACCCCAGAGGAGGAGGAGGAGGAGGAGGAGGCGGAGGAGGAGGAGGCGGAGGAGGAGGAGGAGGAGGAGGAGGAGGAGGAGGAGGCGGAGGAGGAGGAGGAGGAGGAGGAGGAGGAGGAGGAGGAGAGAGAAGAGAAGGAAGGAGGACGAAGAGGACGAGGAGGAGGACAGGAAGGGGGAAGAGGACGAGGAGGCCGAGGAGGAGGAAGAGGGAACAGGAGATCGCCTGGAGCATCTAGAGGAGAGAGTGCCAGAAACGCCCAAAGGCCTTTCTTGGCGTGGATTCCTTGAGGTCTGGACCGTTTCCGCAGGACCACATTTTCGTCCTGAGTGATTTTTGTGATGGTCCCGGAGACCGGTAAGGGTCCCCAGAAGCAAAACACTGCTCAACAAAACATCAGTATTGATGTTTTTCACGGCGGGGGCACTCCGATGGGTTCGGGGCTCCGAAGTCGACCCCCGGACCCATGCTGGGGTTCGCTCTGGACAAATTTCAACAGGAATCCAGCCGTGCAACGGCACGACCCCCCCAAACGGAGCGAAACGTAGGAGAAAACGACACTCGAACCTCTAAGCGGAAAGAGGGCGCAAGGAGCAGGAGCAGGACGAAGAGGAGGAGGCGAAAGAGGAGTAAAAAGGAGGAGAAGAGGGAGGAGGAGGAGGAGGGGAAGAGGGAGGAGAAGGAGGAGAGAGGAGGAGGAGAGGAGGAGAGAGGAGGAGAGGATGGAGGGGAGGAGGAGGAGGAGGAGAGGGAAGCGAGGAGGAGGAGGAGGAGGAGGGGGCGGAGGAAAGGAGGAGGGAGGAGGAGGGGGGGGAGGAGTAGGAGGAGGAGGAGGAGGAGGAGGAGGAGGAGGGGGAGGAGGGAACGAGGCCCTGGTGATCCATCGACCTGAATTAGGTGGGGCGGGTGCTGGGGCTGCGGCTCAGAGCGGGGAGGAGGGCGAGAAGGAGGCGGCGAGGAGGACAATGAGGAGACGACGAGGCGAGGGGAAAACAAGGAGTGAGCAGCCAATGGCCAATGAATCAAGGACGCCAGAGAAGGCTGCTTGAGGAGCTGCTGCACAAGGCAAGCTCGGAAGACGAGGAGGACGAGAAAAAGCTGGACGCGCAGGCCCGGCGAGCGTGCAGCAGGACGGCTGTGCTGGCAGTTCGGGCGGAAGGGAGGCGCAGAAGATTGTCGCGCGGGCGGGACGGGCCTGGCGTCCTTCGCCCGCGCGACGAGGCTCTGCCTGTGGCCGAACGGCCTCGGCGCTCAGCGGCGCCGGCCGACTCCCCCTCCCCCTCTCCTCAATCTCCCCCTCCTCCTCCTTCCTCGTCCTCCGCTCCTCCTCCCCCTCCTCCGTTCCTCCCTCCTCCACTCCTCCCTTCTCCCTCCCTCCCTCCTCCCTCATCCCTCCTCCCTCTTCCCTCATCCCTCCTCCTCCATCCTCCCACCTCCTTCCTCCCCCCTCCCTCCCTCCTCCTCCCTCCTCCCTCCTCCTCCTCCTCCTCCTCCTCCTTTCCATCCTCCTCCTCCTTCCTCCTACTCCTCCTCCTTGCCTCTCCTACCTAACTCCTAACTACTCTCCTCTTCCTACCTCCGTTCCTCCTTTCTCCCTCACTCCTCCCTCCTCCCTTCAACTGACCCGTTCCATCTCCCTCCTCACCTACTGTTCTCTTCCTTCCTCCTCCTCCTCCTCCTCTCCGTCCTCTTTCCTCTGCCTTCCTCCTCTCCTTCTCCTCATCCCTCTCCTCATCATCATCAATCATACCTCATCATCATCTCCACATCGCATCATCCATCATCATCAATCATCATCTTCTCACATCTCTCACATCATCATATCATCAGCATCAGCAATTATGCATCAAAAATCAGCCATCATAATCATCATCAGCATCATCATCGTCATCATCATCAGCAGCATCAGCATCATCAGCATCAGCAGCAGCAGCAACAGCATCAGCATCATCATCAACAACATCATCATCGTCAGCAGCATCATCATCATCAACAACACCATCATCAGCATCATCATCAACATGATCATCATTATCATCACAAGCATCATCAGCATCAGCATCAACATCATCATCATCATCATCATCAATTTCAGAGTCCTCATCGTTATTGGCCACGTCATTGTCATCATCATCATCATCATCATCATCATCATCATCATAGTCATCCGAATCAGCATCATCAGCGTCATCAACACCATCATCATCATCAACATCAACAGCATAACCAGAAACATCATCCTCATCATATGAATCATCATCTTCATCATCATCATCAGCAGTATCATCATCGTCAGCATCGCCATCATCGTCAGAATCATCACCATCATCACCATCATCAACAAAAACATCATCATCAACAGCATCATCCACATCATCAGCATCATCAACCTCATACCATCACCAATGCCACCATCATCATCAGCGGCACCATGACCATCGCCGTCATCACCATCATGGTCAGCATCATCATCGTCGTCATCGTCGCCAGAATCGCCGTCAGCATCAACACCACCATCTGCAGCATCAGAAGCAGCATCAGCATCATCATCAGCATCATCATCATCATCATCATCGTCTTCATCAGCATCATCATCAGCATCACCATCAGTTCGTCATCATCATCCTTAGCATCAGCATCATCAGCAGCGGCATCGTCATAATCATCAGCATCATCGACCTCATCACCACAACCACCACCACCATCATCATCACCATAACCATGACCATCGTCGACGCCATCATCACCATCGTCATCGGCATCATCATCATCATCTCCAACACAATCATCGACTGTATGATCAGCAGCATCAGCATCGTCATCCGCATCAGCATAATCAGCATCATCATCCTCATCATCATCAGCTGCAGCATCAGCTCAAACATGATCATAATAAGTGGCGTCGCCATCATCAGTAACATCGTCATCATCATCGTCAGCACAATGAGCATCATGATCAACATCACCATTATCATCGTCAGCATCAGCATCACCGTCATCAGCAGCAGCATCATCATCGTCATCCTCACCCTCATCATCATCGTCAGCATCATCATCGACGTCAACATCGTCATCATCATCAGCATCAGCAGCATCATCCTCAGCAGCTTCTTCCTCATCATCATCAGCAACAGCATCAGCAGCAGCATCGGCATAACCATCATCAACTTTGTCATCGTCGTCGCCTTCGTCTTTCGCATATCGTCATCAGCATCCATCATCGTCAACATGGGCACCCTCAGCATCATGATAAGCATCAGCATCAGCATCGTCATCAGCAACATAATCCGCATCCTCATCGTCATCATCAGCATCAGCATCATCATCATCCTCATCATCCGCATCATCCGAGCATTTGCAAGAAGGCCTCCGACATCACCATCATCGTCATGATCATCATCAGCATTATCATCCTCATCATCCTCATCATCATAATCCTCATCATCAGCATCATCATCATAACCATCATCATCCTGGTCATCGTCGCCGCCTTCGTCATCCGCATATCGTCATCCTCATCCATATGCTCCCCCTCTCCTCCTCCTCTCCTCCTCCTCCTCCTCCTCCTCCTCCTCCGCCTCCTCCACACCCTTATCCTCCTCCTCCTCCTCTTCTTCCTTCCCCTCCTCCTCCTCGTCCTGCTCCTCCTCCTCATCCTCCTCCGCTTCCTCCTCCTCCTCCCGTTCCTCCTCCTCCTTCTCCTCCTCCTCCTCCGCCACCTCCTCCTCCTCCCCTTCCTCCTCCTCGGCCTCCTCCTCCGCCTCCACCTGATGCCAAACATTGCCACGCACCGTGGACCCACGGGCATCGGGCGTCGAGGGTCGGGGTCGAGGGTCGGGGCCCAGAGTTCTCCAAGCGGCTCGCGGGTGCCGAGCCTCCAGGAGGCCTCTCGCCGCCCCGGCGGGATCTGCCTCGACGGTCGTGCCTGAACGCACTGCAGCATGGGTCCAGGGGTCGACGCTCGAGCCCCAGGCGGATATTTTTGAGTGGTGCTCGAGACCCTCGAGCACTGAGTAGGCTCCGAAGGTCGAAAGCAGGAACCCTCTTCGGGCCCCAGGGCAATCGTACGTCGATCCAGGATGAAAAGGGTGGCCACGATGGACTCCGCCCGGAAGGGGTCAAGGAACAGATTTGGAGCACAACGCGTGCGCCTCGGGTACATCCTCCTTCTGCTCCTCCTCCCCCATCCACCTCCTCCGCCTTCTTCACCTCTTCCTCCTCCTCATCATCAGCAGCAGCAGGAGCCATCATCACCATCAGCAGCAGCAACAGCAGCAGCTGCATCAGAATCGTCATCGGCAACGCCATCATCGTCATCGTCATCGTCATCATCATCATCAGCAGCATCATCAGCACCATCATCACTATCAGCAGCATCAACATCAGGATCAGCATCATCATCATCATCATCATCATCATCATCAGCAGCAGCATCATCATCATCGTCAGCATCAGCAGCATGATCATAATCAGCAGCAGAATCAGCATCGTCATCATCGACATCATCAAAATTAGACGCACGAGCAACATCACCATCACTATTATCATCATCAGCATCATCAGCAGCATCATGATCATCGTCCTCATCGTCAACATCATCAACATTGTCATCATCATCATGATCAGCAGCTTCACCAATCAGCATCGTCATCACCGTCGTCATCGTCCTCGTCATCGTCATCACCACCAGCAGCATCCTCATCATCATCATCATCAGCACCATCCCAACCACCACCATCACCACCAGCATCACCATCAATCTCACCAAGACCGTCAACATCGCAATGACCATCAGCAGCATCATCATCATCATCATCATCAGCATCATCATCATCATCATCATCAACATCATCATCAACAGCATCATCATAAGCGTCATAAGCATCAGCATCATTATCGACAGCAGCAACAGCAGCATCATCACCAGCAGCACCAGCAGCAGCACCATCATCAGCAACGTCAGCACAATCAGCATCCGCATCAGCATCATCATCAGCAGCATCATCAGCAGCATCGACATCGGCTTCGACATCGTCACCAGCCCCGACCACCTCATCATCAGCATAATCAGCATCAGCATCAACATCATCATCATCATCATCATCATCAGCATCATCAGCATCATCATCATCCGTATCATCATCATCATCATCATCATCATCATCATCATCATCATCAGCATCAGCATCATCATCAGCATCATCATCAGCATCATCATCCTCATCAGCATCAGCATCAGCATCAGCATCAGCATCAGCATCAGCATCAGCATCAGCATCATCATCATCATCATCATCATCATCATCATCATCATCATCATCATCATCATCATCATCATCATCATCATCATTATCGGAATCCTTGTCATCATCATCAACATCAGCATCGTCGTCGTCATCTTCGTCGTCATCGTCGCCATCGTCGTCATCATCAGTATCATGAGCAGTAGCACTGGCGTCGCCGCCGCCGTCCTCATCAACCACCATAAACACCATCGCCCTCGTCCGAATCCCTATCCTCATCCTAATCCTGCTGCTGGTGCTTGCATTGCTTTCACGCCACGCGCACATGGTCCGAGGTGTCTCTCGCTGCTGCAAAGCTGGCCTCGTACTGCGCGCAGTCAAGACGAAGCGACAGGTAGCACTCATCGTGCGCTACCCTCAGGAACCCAGGGGGCGAGAGCTATAACGAACGCATCACAGCCCCTCTGGGCGGTTCTCGAAAAGCCGCCACCACGGAGTGCTGCGCTGGCGAAGTGGCGGTCCTGCCGCGGACACCTGGACATTTTGTCGTTGTCAGTCCTCCTCCTCCTCCTCCTCCTCCAAACCCTTCTCCTCCTCCTCCTCATCCTCTCCCCCCCCTCCTCTATCACCCTCCTCTCCATCCTCCCTAATTGACCTCCCATTCCTCCTCCTCCTTCTCGCGCCCTCTCTCCAGCAGGACCTGTTTTGCGAGGGCTCTAAAAATATCTGTCGCGCACGATTCCCCATGACGCGCGGTCATTCTCCAGACTCCAGATGCAAGGGTGCGGCAAGCCATGAAAGCATGAACTGTGCACAACGGGGACCGCGAATCTTGGAACGATTGGCGCGCGGCTGCTAAGGCTGCTGACGCCAGGATTCCATAAAAGAACTGCAGTCAGGCAAGTGCGTGGAGCTACTGTAGTATAAGAGCCACGTGGCCAATCTGCCAGCACAACGCTGTCAAGCACGAAGAGCTGTTTAATGAAAAGCTCTCGTGTGC